CCCCAGTTACCCAACAGGCGGTCCACAAACGCGCCGAAAGGGTTTACGCGCCCGCTTGCAAACCCAGCACGCTTCCCGATTGGCTTTGTGGTCCCGAGCTATGGCCTCACGGTTGGCAATGACTTCCTCCTCACTGGAGCGCACGGAGGACTGAAGCCAAGCCAAGCGGCACGAAGCTACGCCCTTGCGATGCTTGTGCAATCACCAGGTATGCTTGCGACGCACTTGACACTCCGCACCTGTGGCGAATTGTGCTACACTGTCGGGTGTTTGGTGCAGTTTCCTATACGCGCCCTGAAGTCTCGGGCGCTGAGCGCCACAAAACCACACGAATAACACATAAACTTGGGGGATGGAGGAGGGCGATGCAACAATTCAGTCACCTCATTCTCCTTGGTAAATATTCTCTGCCAAATGGCAGTCTCAGCGCAGATGACGTGCCATCTCTTAGCAGGGTCGGCAACGCGCGCAAGCCACGAGCGGAAGCTTCGCGCTTGCCCTGGGATGAAATCAAACCACTCCTCCTCCTCCTCCTCCACCACCACCGCCACCTCCTCCTCCTCCTCCTCCTCAGCAGCAGCATCATCGTCAGAATCATGATCATGATCATGATCATCATCATCATCATCATCATCATCATCATCATCATCATCATCATCATCATCATCATCATCATCATCATCAGCATCATCAGCATCATCATCATCCTCCTCCTCCCTCCTCCTCCCTCTCCTCTCTCCTCCTCCTCCTCCTCCTCCTCACCTCCTCCTCCTCTCCTCCTCCTCCTCCTCCTCCTCTCTCTCCTCCTCCTCCCTCCTCCTCCTCCTCATCATCATCATCATCCATCATCATCATCATCATCATCATCATCATCATCATCATCATCATCATCATCATCATCATCATCATCATCATCATCTCATCATCATCATCATCATCACCACCACCATAATCTTCATCATCATAATCATCATCACCACCACCATAATCATCATCATCATCATCATCATCATCATCATCATCATCATCATCATCATCATCATCATCATCATCATCATCATCATCATCATCATCATCATCATCATCCTACTCCTCCTCCCCCTCCTCCTCCACCTCGTCCTCGCATTCCTCCTCCTCATCCCTCTCCTGCTCGTCCGCCCCGTCCTTTTCCTCCTCCCTCTCCTCCTCATCGTCCCTCCTGTTCTCGGTATTCTCCGCCATGCAAAGGATGCCTTCGCACTCTCGATGCTATTTCCAGGAGGCACACTCGCCAGGAGGCACCCTCGCCAAGGGTGCCCTCTAATAATTAGCTTGGACATGGTCTCGTCTCCCTCCTTCATCCATTCCTTGTTCCTCTTCCGCTCTCCTCCCCGACCATCAGTTATCCTCCCTGCTCACCGCGCTCTCGCTCGAGGCATCTCCACGACTTGCTCGAGCATGGCTCAACGCTGCAGGTTACCTCCGCCGTCGGGCCAGGGGCGCCACGACCCCCCCCCAAGAGCACCACTCGGCCACGGACGCGTCAGCAAGTGGCTCGTGCGGGCCTGGCCCCTCTCTCCCCCCCGTCCCTCCCCCCTCTCGGATCCCAGAGCTTCGAGGATTCGGGGAACGAAGAATGACATGAACATACAAACTCGGAGACCCGCGCGGATTTCTCGGGCCCCAGCGCGGATCCGAGAAATCCGCGCGGACCTCCGAGTTTTTATGTTTGTGTCATTCTTCGTTCCCCTAAGGATGTCTCCAGCGAAACGGGCCAGACCATTTCGCGTGTAGCATCTCGGAGCCGTGCCAGGCCGCCTCTCGCGCGACACCTCGGAGCTCAGAGCTGTGAAGATGTCTCATCGAAACGAGCTGGACCACCACGCACGCGGCACCTCGAAGCCCCGGACTGCGAGGGTGGCTCAAGAGTCTTAAGAGAAACGGGCTGGACCACCTCGCGCCCGACAACTATGAGCTCAGAGTTGCAAGGATGTCTCCCGCGGCGCCAAAATCCCTCCCAGAGCACAGTTCGACGGAAGTGTGATCAAATGGTTCGTTTGGGTCTGACCAATCCTCTCTCCACCCTCCTCCCCCTCGGAGCCCAGAGTTTCGAGGACGTCTCAGGCGAAACGGGCCAGACCACCTCGCACGCAGCATCTCGGAGCCCCGAATTGCGAAGATGTCTCAGGCGAAACAGGCCAAACTACCTCTCGCGTGGCATCTCGGAGCTCAGAACTGTGAGGATGTCTCAGGCGAAACGCGCTGGACCACCTCGCGCACGGCATCTCGGAGCCCCGAATTGCAAGGGTGGTTCAAGCGAAACGGGCTGGACTACCTCGCGCGACATCTATGAGCTCGATACTGCAAGGACGTCTCAGGCGGCGCCGAGACCCCTCCCAGAGCACAATTCGACGGGAGTGTAATCAAATGGTTCGTTTGGGTCTGACCAATCCTCCTTCCTCCCTCCTCCCTCTCGGAGCCCAGAGTTCCGAGGACGTCTCGGGCGAAAATTGCGAGGATGTCTCAGGCGAAACGCGCCAGACCACCTCTCGCGTGGCATCTCGGAGCTCTGAGCTGCGAGGATTTCTCGGGCGAGACGGGTCGGGCCACCTCGCGCGCGGCACCTCGAAGCCCCGGCGGCACGCGCCGGACCCCATCTCGCGCTTGGCATCTCGGAGCTCAGAGCTGCGAGGGTGTCTCAAGCGAAACGCGCTGGCCCAGCTCTCGCGCTTGGCATCTGGGAGCTCAGAACTGCGAGGGTGTCTCAACCCAGACGCGCCGGACCAGCTCGCGCTTGGCATCTGGGAGCGCAGTGTTGCGAGGATGTCTTAGGAGGAACGCGCTGGAGCACCTCGCGCGCGACACCAGGGAGCTCAGGGTTGCGAAGATGTTTCAAGCGGCACCGAAACTGCGCCCAGAGCACAATTCGACAACATAAGTGTAATCAATGGTTCGTTTGGGTGTGACCCCTCCTCCCTCCTCCCTTTCGGAGTTTCCTAGATGTCTCAGGCGAAACGGGCCAGACCATCGCGCGCAGCATCTCGGAGCCCCGAATTGCGAGGATGCCTCAAGCGAGACGGACCAAACCACCTTGCGCAAATTCTCTCAGAGCTCAGAGTTGCGAGATGTCTCAAGCGAAACGGGCCAGACCACCTCTCGCAAATCTTACCAAAACCCAGAATTGCAAGGATGTCTCAAGCGAAACGGGCTGGAACACATCTCGCGCGGCATCTCGAATCCCAGAATTAAGAGGATGTCTCAGGCGAAACGGGTCGGACCACCTCGCGCGCGGCCCCGAACTGCAAGAATGTCTCAGGCAAAACGCGCCAGACCGCTTCTCGCGTAACTTCTCGGAGCTCAGAGTTGTGGGGATGTATCAAAAGAAATGCGCTGGACCATCTCGCGCACGGCATCTCGGAGCCAAAAAATCATTCCAAGGATACCTCAAGCGAAACGGGCTGGACCACCTAGCGCGCAGCATCTGGAAACTTTGAGTTGCGATGATGTCTCAGGCGAAACGGGTCGGACCACCTCTCGCACGGCATCTCAGATCTCAGAGTGTCAAGGATGTCTCAGGCGACACGCCCAATCCTGGTCCAATGAACAAACTCCGAAACGCGAGTTGTGAAGAACTCTCAGGCGAAACGGTCAGATCGGTGAATTCTTAAGGATGTCTCTGTGCGCCTTCTCACGGTCGGAGCTAGCTTCTACCACAACAGGACCCCGTTCAGCAAGCTGCTGGGAGAAGAACAGAAACTTCTGGAGTTCCGCGCGGTTTTCTTGGATCGGCGCTGGCGCGCCAGGAGCAGTGCCGCAAGCGCCACCAGCGGGACCCAGGCGCCGATCCAAGAGATCCGCGCGGAGCTCCGAAATTGTGGATGTGAAGGCCAGCGATGTTCTTCGAATAGTCAGCAGGCGACCAAAATTGCCCAAAACGGCCCCCAAGAGACTCAAAAGAGGCCCCAAAAATGATCTCCAAGACGCCCCCAAAAGGACCGCAAAAGGCCCCCGAGAGGCCCACAATGCCTTACCCGTGCACTTCTTCATCGCTCAGTCCGTCGTGGTCGTCGTCCTGCTCATCATGGACTTCGATTCTGCTCTGGGCGTCGGCGGAATGAATGAGCACAAGACCAATCGGAAGCCCGCGCGGATACCCTTCATCGGCACTGGGCACGCCTCCCCCTCGCGCGCGCGCGGACCGCGCCGTCCCAGGGGGTCAGTTGTGGCGCCGAGAACTCCGCACGAGCCTCCCAGGGTTCGATGCCTCTGCAGTGTCTGAAGGCCTCCCAGCACCGAGGAGCAAGAGATGGCACACCAATAAACTGCTGGAGCTCCGCGCGAAACTCTTGGATCGGCGCTGGGCCCCCCTGGCGGCGCCGGCGGCGCCGCCCCTGGCGCTCTCGTCCAGCGCCGATGCAAGAGATCCGCGCGGAACTCCAAAGAAATCGATGGTCATGCCTTTGTTTCTTCTTCGGCAACTGGGAGCCAGGAAAAAGCGGGTCTTACGCGAGATGGCACAGCGACCTTGCACGGTGGCTTACGTGGGCCGCCAGCGCGGCATGCCAGTGCAGACGAGGACGCTTACGCGCGACCTTACGCGGGACGCTTTCGCACGACTCTCGGCGAAGTCGACCGAGTTTCATTCCGTCGCTCAGATGGGGTCGGAGTCGATGGGGTCGGAAGATCGCGCCGCATCGCCTGCGCATCGGCGATGCATCGGCGAGGTCGGGAGAGCGAAAATCGAGCACCACACCGCGCCGCTTCCCCGATGCATCGGCGAGTCGACGATCCTCCCATCCCATCTGCTCTGGCCCCGTGGGGAGGCCTGGCTGTACAGTCAAAACGTATATTAAGGACGCGTGGTAATGACGCAAGACCCTTGGAGGCTGAAGTTGGGATTTTTTGGGCGGCGGCGACCAGTGAAAACGGCAAAGGACGGGCCACAGAGGCAAGGACGCAAGGGTATCCTAGATGAAGGCGCGCATCCTTACTAGGCGCGTTGACTGTATTTCTGTGCTCGAGTCCTGGCAGCCCACGTGCATCTTGGCCACGAGGTCCTGCACCTTGTTGATGACGGGGCGGGGCACGGCGAGAAGGCTGGTGCCGCTGTCGATGAGCGCGCTGCAGCCGCCCTCCTCGAAGCAGCCCAGCCGGGTCTCCGTGAAGAGGCCCGGGCGCGTGAGCTTCACGCTGGCGAGGCCAACGCTCCTGGAAGGACAGCAAACTAACAAGCTGGTGAGCACACACTTTCGGATGTCCGCGGATCTTTTGTTTGGGGGCTGGACTCCCCTCCCTGGCGCGCGGAGCGCGCTAAGGCCGGCGATCCAAGAGATCGGCGCGAGCGGTTTTGTCTGTGCCATTTTCTGCTCTTCTCCGAGCTCCAGGTGTGCTTCCCGAGGATGGGCACCCTCGTGAAGAGGTCTGGCTTGTCCGTGTGCTGACGCTCCTGCACGACCAGTCAACATCGAATCAGGAAGCAAGCGCGAATCGGAGCGCGCATCGAATCGGGCCGCATGGGCACGGAGTCGGGATCGACCAGGACTGGCTGCGACGGGTTGCACAACGACGCCGTGCGAGCATCGGGCCACATCGCTCGAGGCCTCCCCTTGCCGTCGCTCGGACGTCCATTCCCCGTGCATGTTTTGGTTTCGTGCGTGTTGTTTCTCTGCTCGATGGTCCAGGATGCTCCTCGATGTTCCTCGCCGAGAAAACATGCACACGTCCGAGCGATGCCGAGTCCCAGATGGGGTCCCAGGCGAGCATGCCCGGGGGGCCAAGCCCAGAGGGTGGGGGCGCGGGGCGCTCGGGAGGCCTGCCACTGCCTTCTTCAGCCTGCAAGCGTCTGCTTGGGACCGACTGGCCGCCAGGGGCGCTGCGCCTGGCACCCCCAAAGGTGGCGCCGACGAGCAGAGAGCGAAACTGTCGGGTTCCTGCGCGCGGCTCTACAGAGAGGCAGGGGACCTGGCCCAGGAACACGCTCCGGGTCCGAGCAGATGGGGTTGGAGGGTCGCGCCACATCCCCGATGCATTCGCGAGGCATCGGCGGCGGCGGCGACGCATCGGCGCTGCGGGGGTAGCATAGAAATCGGGCTGCACACCGCGCCGCACATCGGCGATGCAGCTGCGACGCGGTGCGACCCTCCGAGCCCATCTGCTCGGACCCCGCCTGGGAGGCCTAGAATCGCATCGTCGGCACATCAGAACCGGATCGGACGGACCGGCCGAAAATCAACATCGAATCCGATCGGTCGGATCCAGATGGGGCCCCACTCCTGCCAGGTGAAGTACCCGTCGGAGCCGGCACGGGCCCCCATGCAGATGGAGAAGGCCTGCACGCCGAAGGTGTGCAGCATCGGGGGCGTGTCGCTCATCTCCAGCGCGGACTCGATGGCGTCCTGTCGGGGACGCGCCACGTAGCCCTGGTCGGCCAAGGCCCCGTCGCGAGCCCGTCGCTCGCTTGCTAGCTCCCAACCCCTGGGCCAGCGGAAAGCAGAAATGGGGGAGTGGGCTCAGGTCGGGCCTGTCCCCCTACAGGGGGATTTTGGACGGAAATTTCTTAATAGTCCAAAAATACTCAGAAATGGTAATACAAACAACAACAACAACAACAACAACAACAACAACAACAACAACAACAATCATTTTACCCGAACGCTCAGTGTTCTCACCAGTGCCAGGGTTTTCATGCGACGCGAGACAATACCCCCACTTCGTGGGGGGGCAGGTCAAGCTCTACCAAATATCCAAACGACTCTTCGCGACCACCCAAACCCAGCTTCCCGCCCTATGACGTTGGGACACTTCACTTCGTGGCGTGCGGACGACCGTGGCTACTACACTGGCGTGGGGTACACACCCACAGAACTTGGTCACTTATTCGGGGCGCGCGTGTGCCCAGCATCCTGCAATTGTGACATACAATACATGACACAGACAGACAGAGAGAGAGACAGTGAGAGACAGAGAGAAGAGACAGAGAGAGCGGAGTTGGTCACATTTTTGGGGCAAGTTCCTGAGATCGTCGTGTTTTTTGTTGGTCTTGCGCGCGCGAATGTCCACTTTACTTTTTTTTGCAAGGGATTATTGAATTTTGATTATGTTAGAACAAGAAAAAGTAGCTCGCGCGAGCTCATGTAACATAAATGTTGAAAAACCATTGGTTTTGTGGGAGTCGGACAGCGCGCGCGGGATGAAATTTGGACATTTTTTTTTTGAAAAACCATTGGGTTTTTGATGTTTTTATGTTGAAATCGTTACGAAACCTAAGGTTCTGGAAGGATTTTCGTCTTGCGCGCGCGAATGTCCACTTTTCCTTATTTTTGCAAGGGATTATTGAAATTTGATTATGTTAGAACAAGAAAAAGTAGCTCGCGCGAGCTCATGTAACATAAATGTTGAAAAACCATTGGTTTTGTGGGATTCGGACAGCGCGCGCGGAAGGACATTTTGACAATTTTTTCTTAAAAAACCATTGGGTTTTTGATGTTTTTATGTTAAAATCGTTACGAAACCTAAGGTTTT